ACATTGGAACTTCCACTTCCAAGCAACATCCTAGAAGCTTTACCACATTCCTGTGGTTTATCTGTGAAAGTATGACCATCTCTTGCGCAAACTCATCTTTCTGTACCATGTTCATAACCTTTGAGCACTTTATGGCTACCACTCTGCCGTCTTTGAAAATTCCCTTGTAAACAGTTCCATGGCCACCTCTTCCTAATTCTCTGCTTGAGTCAAAATTGTTCGTTGCGTTCTTTAGTTCTTCCCTTGTGAATATTCTCACTGTATCAACTTGCTTTGACCTGATTTGCTCATATAGTAGCAGGCCACCATTTTGTTGGAAGAATATCTGCTTTTCTTTCACCAGCCTTCTCTTCTGACATTCAACCAGGAGTGCAAAAATGCAGATAAGGAGAAGTACAGCACATGCTGAAATACCTGCCAAGAATAACATTCTTTCAGTTACTTGAAGTCTTGTAGGTAATGCCTAATGGTGTTCAAAGCACTTGCCCCCTTTTCGAAAAAATATGTACGCGGACTGTAAAAATAACCCAAGCCTTTTCGTCACAACTAAAAAAACTTTTTACTACTCCCTCTATCCCATAATATAAGACACTAGTGTAAAAAATGCTCTTATATTATGGGACGGAGGGAGTAGTAATCAGTTTTAGGCAGATTACAAATCAGCGTTTTTTTTTCCAATAAACTAGATGAGCACCAACAGCATAGGAATATAAGAAGTCACATTCTATTGTAAGAATTTTTGGTACCATTTATCTATGATGTGCTGTGATGCTTGCGACACACAGCACCTGGATACTGTTTTATAACTAATTTATTTACCACCAGCATCTATTAAATTATGCACAAGGCTACACGGCACCTGGTTCTGCACCTTATTTTTATTGCGAGTACAGTGCATACTTTTAGGACAAGGTAGGATGAATGTACTAATATGTATATTTTGCAAATAAGAGTGAAAAAGTGTTATTTCTTATTTGTTCATATATGCAGTTAAGTTTAGATTTCTAGGAATGAATGTCACTGATGCCTCCCTATATGTGCTATATCAGTTTGACCTATCCACACTATTCAGAGACACTTACAAAATATCCTGAGTATATGAAGGTTACCTATAAATATTTTTGTTAATCTAGCTCTTTCTGAAGCTGCAATTGGTTTGCAGGTTTCTCTCTTTGGATCTATGCTGGTAGTCCCAGAGTTGCATGAGCAACTGTAGTCCCCAATTGCATTGCTGCAGATTCCAAGGCAAGGATACTGATCTGGAAAACTGCACTCATTGATGTCTGCAAAGGGATAGATAAATAACTGAAGATCAGTGTACAGATAACTTAAGGCGAAGTTAAAAGAAGTGAGTTACAGTGAGTTATCGACCTTGGCATCCTCCTTCCAGGTAGGGGTTGCCTGCAAAACCATCGCTGCAGGTACAGAGATATCCTGTAGCATTTGGCGACATGATGCAATGGCTATTCTTGCTAATGCAGGCGTAAGATGACATGTTGTTATCTGCTTCATCACAGTTTTCATGTCCAGCAACCCAGTCAAGCACAGTAGGTACCCCGTTGTTGAACTTCTCTGTGAATTTATTATCTTCGAGATAGGAAGCCTCGAACCTGAACCAATCCTGCTCTGCGACAAAAGCATAGCTGCATGGGTTGAAGCCACGCACCTCTGAATTGTCGAATCTGTCATCGAATGATATATTGGAGGAACTGAGGTTTGGTGCAATAGATGTCTGGCAACAGCCCATGCCAGAGCACTGTCCACTGTGATCCACACTTTGCTTGTCCGCGCACATCGAGAAACAACCAGCTCCCACACTGTGCTCGTTATAGCCTCCCAGGAATGCAAGGGTGTTGCATCCAACTGCTGTTAATTTATTCGCCTTTGTGGATATCTTGAAGAAATCAGCAGTATTTGATGAGACCCATCCATCTGTGTTGTTGCTGTTGCTGTAGAAGCACTTGGAGGCAATCAATGTGCTGACTCGGGTCTGCCCTCCTGCCAGACTGATGTTGTAGATCTCCATTTGGCTGCTCGAGTTATGCATGAACACACGATTGTTCTCGCATGAAACATCGAACCCTTCACTGTAGAAGCAACCTTGACCGATGCCGAAGGGGTATGGGATGGTGAGGTTGCCGCATGTTTCTTGGCATCTAGGCTTCGCCATCCTGGATGCTGTGCTGCTCTTGATGCTTGCTAGCAGCAGCAGGGTGGCTGCAAAGATTAGCCATGGTAAGGCTGTTGCCATCTCTTTGTGTAGAGTCCTGACTCCTTTTCTGTCTGTCCTATGATTCAACTCTCCTTCTCTAGCTTGGCTATGCTTATGTAGCGAAACAGATGTAGACTAATTCGTCCTACTGGTATTTTTTTTTGTCCAATCAGGGTGTAGAGGCGGCCAGAAGTGGTTTTGGGGTATGCGATAGCGTGTCCACTCAGCAACCAAATGGGAGACCGCGACTCAGTTGGCAGTTTTGTTTTAGCCAGTTTTATCAAATAAGTTCTAAGGTTTTTTTAACAGACATGGGTCCCGTTCTTAGGGGTGGCAATTCTGGTCTACCAATTGGAGCATTCAGTTTTACACTGTACTTTTTATCCTCAAAATACCTGATATGATCTCACTGAACAACTATAGCAGAAATTATAAATTCAATGCAGTATGTCACTTTCCAGTAAATTGTTTCCCTCTGTTGTATATTAAAAAAAAGAAAGTTTCCAACTGGTCATGATCACACCTTACTAGTGCGCTAAAATTAGTGTCATGGTTAGGTGGAAAGGCAAATCTGCTCTTATATTAGGCACGTGTTTAGATACTAGACAGAGATCACCTTTGCCCTGCTTTATCATAAAGCTAAAAGGAGGTTCAGGTCCTTGAGAAACCGGGCCACACGTTTAGATGTCGTTATGATGGCTATAACAGTGAAATTCCCCCCTTCTCATTAATTTAGATTTGCTTGGGCCAACTTGGCTCCCCTGAAAGCATCTTGCCACCTACCAGATGACCTGATGATCAGATTCTTATCCCGTACTCCATTTGGCTTAACCTCCCTGTCCCCTTTGATGGAATGCCACATCTGTTATCTATACAACTGAAGTTTCTTTTATGAAATGGAAGCAGTGTAGTGGTAAATTGGTAATTGGTAGGCCCCAGCCTCCAGGTGAATCTGAATTCACATATAAGACCGGAGACCGACTCTTTTATCCTGGATGCATGGATGACCTGTTCAAATGCTGTACTTAGTATTATCACCAGTAACTAAAACTAGCTGATTAATCTTAATCTTGTGGGTGCCGTAGGTGATTGAGCCAGGAAGGTTCTTGTTGACCCAGGGTCAAGACAGCGAACGTACGGTGCATGAAAGGAAGTTTCCCTGATGTGACATGTTGTATCTGCAATCGGGTCAAGTCGTTAAAGGGAGTCTTCCAAAGGACAAGAAGGCAATCTAATGCACATCCGGATTGACGACAGCGAAGGTGAGCTGATTTTGCATCCCAGCATTTCATTAGACCGGTAAAGGGTTAGGATTATTCCCTTGGACTAATTCTGCCGTCTGGGTTGATTTCATCTGAGAGCAGATTTGCACCTCAGGTTTGTCCTTGGATTTATGCTCGACCAATTTTCTGTTCAATGCTATGCACTGTTGGAGTGTGATTTGTTGTTACAGGGAAAAATTACTAGCTTCACATCTATTTAGAAAAGGGTAAAGGCAAGGACTACCTGTGTTTTCAAAGGAAAAAATCAAATCAAAGGAAAAAACACACCATGAAAGCCATTGTAAGTTAATCTTTCCTTATGTCCGTCGCATGTGCAAGGAAGGGATGTGATTGAGCTTGGTGTGATTTTTTTAGACATGACACCCGTCCTCACTGCCACCGCCATATGCGGTAGAGTCGAGGAACGAGAAGCTGAACTGATTTTGCATCACAGCAATTGATTAGACCGTTGAAGGAATAGGAGTATTCCGTGAATCCCTTGGATCAATTCATCCCTGTCATTCGAGTACTCGACTTGGCTGTGAGCATATTTGCACCTTAGGTTTGTTGTCCTTGGGTTTATGCTCGAGCAATTTACCTTTTTCTGCACTATGCACGTTGGAGTGTGAATTGTTGTTTAAGATTTGTTATTTTACTATTTTAACATGTGTTTAGGAAAAAAGGGCGAAGTAAAGGATTATTCATGTTAACTTTTGAGAAGAAAAGAACAAAACATGAAAGCACCATAAGTTAATCCCGCTTGATAGATCTTGGCCGTCGCATGCGCAAGGAAGGGATATGATTGGACTTGGTGTGGATTTAGAACACATACGCTTGGCAATTTTTTTAAGAAGGCCCTGCCAAATATTTTTAAGAAGACCCTGCAAAATGTCCAGAATGCAGCAAGAAGTGTCTTCACATTGCTCTCAGCCCAAACCACCAAAATAGGGTTTCCAAACCTAGCGGCGACAGAATGGGCGGCGGCGGCGGCGGCGCGCCGCACCCATGCGAGACCCGAGTGGATGAGCACGTACGCCAGAAAATGGCCTCGTTGCCAATCCCGGTGATCTCCTAGCGGACATCTTCCTTCGCCTGCCCACGCCAGCCGACCTCATCCGTGCCGCCGTCGGCTGCATCTCCTTCCACAACATCATCACCGACCGCTCCTTCCTCTGCCGTTTCCGCAAGCTCCACAACCCGCCCCTCCTCGGATTGCTCGACAATCATCGAGTCTTCCACCCTGCCAACCCGCCTCACCCCTCCGCGCCGGCAGCCAGTGCCGTCGCTGTTGCCGCTGACTTTTCCTTCTCTTTCCTTCCTGGCGCCAGCCACAACTGGGCCATCCAGGACATTCGCGATGGCCGTGTCCTCCTCAACAAAATCCATGGGAGGGATGGTATCGGTCAGAAGTGGAGAATATTCAAGGATATGGTGGTGTGCGACCCCCTGCACCGACGGTATTTCCTGCTCCCACCAATCCCCGAGGATCTAGTAAATCCAGTGGAGGAGCGGTGGAGGCACACTTTATGGAAGAGGTATATTATTTGTACCAGATCTTCCTTTTGCCTCCCTGTGACAATGATGAGGAGGCAACAGCTGTGGAAGAGACGTCATTTAGAGTGGTTTTGATGGCATGGTGTGAAACTACGATGGTTGCCTTTGTCTTCTCTTCTAGTACTAGACAATGGCGAGCCATTCCATCCCTGGGCTGGGATACTTTAGTTGCTAACTTGCCACTGAGAGGGTATTGTCTCTTCGCCGCACGCCAATACGCGTATGGCTGTTTCTACTGGATGTTACATTTTTGCAAGAAAATATTGGTGCTTGACACTCGGAAGATGGAGTTCTACATTGCTAACCCCCCACCTGCAATATCTTTTTCTTTTCTGGATATAGCCATTGTGGAGGCAGGGGAAGGTAGAGTTGGGATGTTTGTGCCAGGAATAGGCAGAAATGGACTTGAATTCTATACAATGTGGAGAAACAATGGTGGGACTTACATGCAGTGGAAGTTGGAGAAGACGATCTCAGTTCATTTTTTGCACTACTCTGCGGGTTCAAATGGGAAACACTTGTTCATATATGATGTGGAAAGCCCGTCGGTTAGCTATGGTTGTTTCTCACTAGACATCAAGACATTCCAGCTTAAAAGGGTGTGTTCTTCAAAGACATGGATCCCTAATCCGCTTGCATATAGCAACTTTCCACCATCAATTTTGGCATCACCAACAATAGCAAGTGGTAAGCTTTCTTAGTTAACTCCTTCCTTGTATAGTTATGCAACAACTTGTCTGATACTCGGTACTCCTTATTGTGATTGGTAATTTTCATATACATGGTTTGGTAGCTGTTACCTTTTCCATGATTGTGGCAGCGCTCATCAAGCACATGAATAAAATTGTGATTGGGGTGCGTCTAACATTGTGGTGGTTATGTTCTGTTTGGTCTCCTAAGGGAGTTCTTAAGTTGTCTAGTTTGTTTTGTATGTATGTTGGCTGGAGCAAGGGCTTTAGGTTTTGAACTTTTGATTCAAGTCGTTGTTGTTCAGAAAAGAGTGCTGTCCTTTTGTGACAACCTTTCTGTGGCGACTTTGTCTTTATCTTTGTCATGCAATATGAAATGGGACCGGAGCTATTTAATTCGAAAAAAAAGGATGAGTTATGAAGATTGATTCTCCAACCTGTATGTGGTCCTTTGATACCTCGTCTATTATGCTTCTTACTGTGTTTTTCTCAAAAGAAATTTACCAAGTGTTGTCGAATAGTAAGACCTATTGTTTATTTTGCTCGCAAGCTCCAGAATATATATCTGCAACCTGAGTATGTGTATGTTGGGCAGGTACTCAGGAAGGTGAGAAGGAGATGCTGGAACAAGGCGCGAAAACTCTGCAAGCTGAAGAACATGTGGACAGCCAGCATGGTGGGAGCACCAGTGATGGTGTTGATGCTGGAGGTCACCCTGGCATGCCGAGGATCAGAGATGGCACTGATTGAGTTTGTGCTGCAACTCAGACAGCTGACCACATGTTGGTCTGTAATAGGCGGTTCTGTTTGGTCCATAATAATTGACCTGGAGTTTACCTTTATCCCGTGTGCTTTCGATTTGACTTGAAGTTTATCATGTGTGCTTTCAATATGACGATGGTTGGTGTGTTTGCCGCATAAAGACTATGTGAGTAGTCAAAAGTGAACAATTTGAATTTGTGAGGTATTTGCAACTAAGCAGAAGTGTTGGCTTATAATCTATTTGTGTTGCTCTTTCTTTGGACAGTGAAGTTACTTTTAGCAGTACTATTTGTGTTTCATGGGATCTCTTTCGTGCTGCTCTTTTTCTTGCACAGTGAAGCTACTTGAAGTTCTGTGAGATGCCAAATGTGTTGTACTAGTCAGGCATTTTGGAAAACAAGGACAAGTGCTGATCTACTCCATGAGCAATGATAAAGTGAAGGGAACATGCTTGTGATGCCTGTTAATGTTGTACCCTCTTTGTGCTGCTCTTTTTCTTAGAGAGTGAAGTTACATGTGGTTATGTTTGATCTCATCTGCACCCTCAATCAGCTGTTCTCTCTCAGGGGAAAGTGGTGCTTCTTGCTCAATTCTGCCCATATAACTCTTCTGCCAAAATCTGATGCTGCCACCAAGATCAAGGATTTTCGGCCAATCAGCCGTATGCACTCCATTGCTAAGATCATATGCAAGTTATTGTCCAACAGACTCACACCCCTCCTGCTCAAGACCCCCCACCCTCAAAGTGCCTTCATCAAGAGCCGCTCGATCCAAGACAACTTTCTTTAATTATGTCAGAAATGCCCTGCAGAAAGCTGCACAAGAACAAAGAGCCGGCCTCGCTGCTGAAATTGGATATTGCCGGCGCTCGATCCAATAGTACTAGTGTGTGATGGAATTAATATTTTGTCTAATACTCCCTCTTTTCCAAAATAAGTAACTCAACTCTATACTAACTTTAGTACAAAGTTCACTTATTTTGGGATGAAGGGAGTATATCCTTTTTTTACGCGAAATTAAGGAGCTTTATTGCACAATTGATATCCGGTTACAATCAGCTAGGAAGCTGCTGACTAAAAAGGATGGATAAGAGTCCAACCAGACGTCTGAAACTGAAAGCGTGGTCGCATGTTTTGCGCAAAGATCGGCCGTGCAATTGGCTTCTCTTGCGACATGCTGGATCGAAAAAGAGACGAAGTTTGCAGCTCTTTCCTTGATTTCATCGAAGATAGGCTTCACAATCAACCTGTGTAGCGACCAGACCTTAAACGGTCCAATCTCTGTGCTCCAGTGTCATCCCTGGATCAGTAATGCTGACACCGCACAATACTTAAAGGATTTATAACAGAGTAGCAATCACACACTTATTACAACGAGTGTCTCAAAAAAGAACTTATTACAATAAATATGGCTTAAGGCCATCTAATAATGATAACAACGGAAGGTTTGGAAGATAAGTGAGTCCATCAACTCCAACGGCATCACTGAGTATAGAACCACGACCTAAAGGCACCTTACTTGTCGTCTGAAAAGTCTGCAACATAAACGTTGTAGCCCGAAACGGGTCAACACATGGAATATGCTGGCAAGGTAACACATAGAGAGTAATGAAAGAATAGGCTAAACTACATGCATATTTGGCTGGTGGAAAGCTCTATGGTTACAGTTTTGCGTAAAGCCAATTTTTCCCTACTGCAAAGGAATAAATTTTATTTAACTATCATGGTAGTTGTTAAACATTGAGAGTGTAGACACGCTCTCAATCCCAATTAAGCATCAACATTAAAACCCAACAATATTAATTAAAGTAACATGATGAGATTCACATGATAATCCAAGTACTAGATACTCAGGTTGTCCATAACCGGGGACATGGCTAACCATGATTAGATTATACACTCTGCAGAGGTTTGCGCACTTTTCCCCACAAGATTTGATCTCCTCCGTTGGGATTCTCGCAGTACATGGTGTTTGAGAAACGGATGACCGAGACATAGTCTTTCAGAAGTGCTAGCACCTTACGATCGGGTAGACCGTTACACCTACTTTTCCCTACATCTGCTAGTCTACCACTGTAAGAGTTCGCATGACTTAATCAACTATGCTAGAGCCCATAGTAGCTTGTGGCTGCACACGGAAGTTTCTAGTATGAATAATCTCATGATCCCTTTGAGCCTGGGTGGCGGTCCAAAAGAAAAACAGGCAATCGCTGGAATACCCAGGTGCCTCAATCCACCCAGATGTGTGTTTATGTTGCCACCTTAGATAAACCATTAATTATCAATCTCACATCTGTCATGGATACACTCAGCCAATCCACGTCTACTAGCATAGCATAGCAATATAAGCAAACATAGAAGTATCTCCCAGTGTTTGATAATAAAACAGGTAATAGGTTCTACCTCATCTACTTCCCCAAACCCACAATTTAATTAGATCCTAATCATGCATTATTTGAGGATTGATCTAATGCAATAAAAACTGGGTAGTAGGAGGTATGATCAAAGTGTTACTTGCCTTGCTGATGATCCGCAAAATCTAGCGATTCGAAGTAGCAAGCGGCGCACTCCGGGTACTCTATCGCAAACAAACAAGCATACAATAAGTACTCATCTAATGCACATGTAAAACTCAAATAAGAGATATAACCAGAAAGTTCAACTTAAGAATTCTGGTTGGCAAAAAGAATCAAATCGAATGAAGCAACGAAAGTCAAACGGCAAAAGAAAACAAGCTTCGTTTACTATTCTGGACATAGGTCAAATTTTACAGAAGCAAAAACTTGTTTGAGTTGGTTAAACGGAAAGAGGGTTTCGAGACGAAACTCCAGGCGCTTGAATCGTCTGATTCCGATAAACGAGCGAAAAGTTATACTAAAACGAAAATCAGATCAGAAATCGCGATCAGAAATAATCACGGATAATCCGAGAAAAAGAAAAACGACAAACAAATTAACGAACGAATGTTTGTTATCTGGATCTAAACGATGAACGCGTTCGTTAAAATAAACGAATGAGCGAACGCTTGCTAATTAACCTAAACCGGAAAAAAACGATTTAATAAAAAAATGGAAACTAAAAAAAAACGAACGAAAATCGGCGAAAACTAACGGTTTTCTAAAAAAACCGGCGGCGGGTCCGGCGGCGGCGGCGTCGGCGACGGCGACTGGGGCTGGGCGCGGCTAGGGTTTGGGGGCGCGGCACTCGGGTGGGTTGAGGCGGCCCGGGGTGGCGCTATATAAAGCCCCCCCCCCCCGGCCAGAGGAGTCCTGGCCGATCCCGGCCCAGAATCGGTTCGTTTTTTTAAATAATTTCGCGTAGGAAAACAAACAAACAAAATACTAAACGGACTTTAAAAATCCCGAAATAAATTTTCCCCAGCTTCTAAAATCAAGCCGCACAGGATGAACATTTATTTGGGGCCTAAATGCAATTTTGAAAAACGCGCATTTTCCTAAATTCAAATAAAATAGCAAATAAAACCAAAATAAAATCTTATTTGATTTTATTATTAAATTCTCAATATTTATTTATTTTGGAAAATTCATTTTATTCCCTCTCTCATATATTAGTGATAGAAATAATTGAAGATAAAATAAATAAAATCAAATGGTCCTATTTTCAAAATTTGAGAAAACTCAAATATGAAAATAACGAAATCCCCAACTCTCTCCGAGGGTCCTTGAGTTGCGTGAAATTTCTAGGATCAACCAAAATGCAATAAAATATGATATTCAATGATGATCTAATGTATAACATTCCAAATTGAAAATTTGGGATGTTACAAACCCACCCCTCTTAAGATGAATCTCGCCCTCGAGATTTGGGTTGGTTAGAAAATAGGTGAGGGTGGTCCTTCAGCAGATCTTCCTCTCGCTCCCAGGTGGCTTCATCCTCCGTGTGGTGGCTCCACTGAACTTTGCAAAACTTGATAACCTTGCTGCGGGTGACTCGGCTGGCATACTCAAGAATCTTGACTGGTTTCTCCTCATAGGTCAAATCATTGTCCAACTGAATCGCTTCCAGCGGCACTGTATCTCTCAGCGGTATATCAGCCATCTCTACATGGCACTTCTTCAACTGGGAAACGTGGAACACGTCGTGAACTCCTGACAATCCTTTGGGCAATTCCAACTTGTAGACTACTTCTCCCATACGCTCCAAAACCTTGTATGGTCCTACAAAACGTGGCGCTAAATTTCCCTTAACCCCAAAGCGCTTAACTCCTCGAAGTGGAGATACTCAAAGATA